GGATCATCGTCACCATCTTCCGGTTCATCTCCTGAAACATAATCACGCATCCAGACAGGAGGTTGGGTGACTCTTCTGTCTCTTGTACTTGACTCTGGTCTGTCTCTTGTACTTGACTCTGGTTCCCTCCCATGATTAGAAGGCAGATCACAGATCACTTCCTCATTTTGATTTGCTGAAGGTTGAGCAAAACTCCCTTCTTCAGCTTCACATCGTTCCTCATCTTCCCATTCCAAGTTCACTGTTTTATCAGCTTCGTGAGTTGTATTCCAATCATGCTGCCTGTCTTCTTCAAAAACAACATYTCTACTAACCAAAATTTTGTTTGAAARTGGATCAAATAGTTTATAGGCTTTGGAACTTTCAYTGRTCCCCAGAAAAACACACTTGATGYTTCTATCATCAAGCTTTACTCTACGTTCCTTAGGTACGTGTGCATGTGCAACACAGCCAAACACACGGAAATACGAAACTGATGGTTTAGTTCCGGACCAGGCTTCTTCTGGTGTGACATCTGTAAGAGCTGCATTTGGACATCTGTTCAAGATGTAATTGCTCCAGTTTGTTGCTTCAGCCCAAAAAGTCTTCGGCATCTTCATGTCTGATAACATAGCTCGTACCATGTTTAAAATGGTCCTATTCTTACGCTCAACAACCCCGTTCTGTTGTGGCGTATACGAGGTTGTAAGTTGCCTCGTTATTCCACCTTCTTTGCACAACTCCTTGAATGCTGCTGAGGTAAATTCTCCCCCCCTGTCTGTGCGTAGGCACTTARTGAAAGAACCAGATTCCTTTTCTACCAAGTTCTTGAAGCAAAGAAATTGATGYAATGCCTCTGATTTTTCAACTAARAAATACACCCATGAYWTTCTGCTATAATCATCAATAAAACAGAGTATGTACCTCTTCTTGCTGTTGGAGGCAGGAGTAATAGGACCACARATGTCGGCATGTACCAGCTCGAGTGGTTCGTGTGCTCTCCATGTGCCTTTATTCGGAAAAGGCTCACGATGATGTTTGCCAATGAGACAATCTCTACATACTTCATCAACCTTCTCAAGTGATGGTAGTCCTCGCACCATTTTCTTTGTMTCCAAGRTCTTTAAACCGGTGTAGTTTAGGTGACCATACCGTCGGTGCCACAAGTTTGTGATCTCCTGATTCTTCGTGAGAAAACATTGATCCTTCTCTTCTTTCCTTTCTGCTCCTGCATGTAGTTTAGGTGACCATACTCGGTGTAGTTGGCTTCTTTGTTCCCTTCTGGGCATTCATAAGAAAAATGCCCAAGCTTGTGGCATCTATAGCACTCCACTGTTGCTTTGCTGTACATAGACCTGCCTCTACCTCTGCCTCTTCCTCTTGGTGACGATCTACCTCGGCCACGCATTCCTCGTCTCTCTTCCGATGAGATCTTTAGAGCCTGCTCTTCATCTCCTTCATTGTCCTTCTTAAATTTCTGTTCATGCACTAGAAGAGAGCTTTGTAGTGCATCAACAGACAATTCATCAATGTTTTTGGACTCCTCAATGGAACAAACAACATAGTTCCATTTTTCTGTAAGAGTACGAAGTATCTTTTCAACAATCTTGATATCATTCAAAGATTCTCCACAGCTTCKCATTTCATTGAYGATAATCATTACCCTTGTAAAGTAATCTCCGACGGACTCTCCGTTCTTCATCGTCAGAACTTCGAATGATCTCCTAAGTCTGTTCAACTGAGCTCTCTTTACCTTCTCATTTCCCAGGTATCTTTCTTTCATGGAATCCCAGATCTGCTTGCTTGTCTCCCTCTTGGTGAACGTCTTCAGTACGTTCTTATCTATCGCAGAGAATAGATAATTCTTGGCCTTGAGATCTTTCAGCTTCAATTCAGCATTGTTCRTTGGAACCTCAGTTTCAACAACACTCCAGTACTCTTTGGAGCGTAGCAAATTCTCCATTAAGAGACTCCAGTACTCATAGTCCCCATCAAACTTAGGGATGTTTGGCTGGGAAAAACTTGACGCATCTGAAGCCATCTCTCCTTTGCTATGTGAGATCCCTTACTCTCTGTTGCTCTCACTTTCTGTGTTTCTAACTCTCACAGCACTCCTAACCGGGCTCTGATACCAATTGTTAATTAAATTGCAGAGAGCAAGGAAATAACAATTGGGAGGAATGCTGCATCTTATTCATCAAAAGTGGGCTCTTAAATAGCCACAGGAAATACAACGACTTGAACTGAAAAAGCTAAAAAACTGGAA